TAATTTTAATGTTATTTCTGCTGCTAGTAATTAAGATTAAGTTATGCTTAATACCATTATGATGAGAATACATCGGGTGCACATGAGGTGTTACAATTTATATTTCGGTGACAACTATTAAACTTTTTACAAAATGAATATCCTCCAATTTAATGAATGTGATTTAGAATGGATCAACTAATGGATAGTTCCACCCTACCCGTGGCACTAGACAAGGTAATTCTTTATTATTATATTTTTTGTGCTTTGCATAGAGATTGATTCATCTCCTCAACGAGGCCACTAACAAAAAGATTTGAAAGCCAATAATTTAAAGGAAAAATGATCCACATATATGCACTTTCTTTTTGTTGAAACTTCTGAACACCAAGCGAGGCTGATATCAAAGATATTGGAGTGTTTTTGCAATTCTTTTGGACAAAAGGTAAGTAATGATAAAGCAAGATTTTTTTTTGTCAAAAAATATTCATCATATAAGAGCCACAGATATTGCTCAGACCATAGGATTCTCCATTACTCATATGATTTGTGCAAATACTTGTGAATTCCTCTTCTATTGGGGTATTCAAGTGTGATGGAATCTCACTTTAGTGGGTAATGTACTAACTGAAATCCATATAAGTGGGAAGATCGATGAACCCAATGCCTTAAGATTTTGGATTGTGATATGGTGTCGAATCCACTTGGTGTGGTTGGTGTAGCTTAGTCCATTGGTGGTGTTCCCCCGCCATGCATTGATGGGGTATTCAAGTGTGATAAAATCTCACATTAATTGGTAATGAGCTAAGTGAAGTCCATATAAGTGGGATGATCCATGAACCCAATACCGTAAGGTTTTAGGTTGAGACATGGTATTGGACCCACTTGGTGTGGTTAGTCTAGCTTAACCCATCAGTGATGGTCCCCAACCATGGGCTCTCATGGCCACCTGACAATGGTATCAAAGACTGGTTAGGCTCGAGCTAGTCTGGTGTTTGGCTAAAGGCAGGTTGAGTACTTGAGCCTAGAGTACTCAAAGAGGCTTCCGTTGAAGGGGAGTATACCAATGTTGGGTTTTACACTTGAGGGGGAGATTGTTGGATATTCAAATGTGATGGAGCCAAACATTGCTTGGTAATGGGCTAAGTGAAATTCATATAAGTGGGAGGATCCATGTAGTTAATGCCTTAAGGTTTTGGGTGGAAATATGGTGTCGAATCCACTTGACGGTTGGTGTAGTTTAGCCCATTGGTGATGGTTCCTCACTATGGGCTCCCCCTAGCCCACTTGACAGTGGTATCAGATGCAGGTTTGGCTCGGGCTAGCTTGGTGATTGGCTAGAGGTGGGTTGTGCCACCTCTATATAAGTGTGATGGAAACTCACATTAGTTGGTAATGAACTAAATGAAGTCCATATAAGTGGGAGGATCTATGATCCCACTTAAGGTTTTATTTTGATACATAGTATTAGAGACATGGTATGGTTGGTCTAACTTAATTCATCAGTGATGGTCTCCCATGAGCTCCCCGGACCCACTTGACATCATCATACCAGAGTTCGACACGGAGCCTTTTCTTACATTTAAACAAGATTAACAAAACTGAACTCTTGAAAAAAATCTATACTAAATCTGGCTGGCGGGACGATATTAGCCACAGTCTCTTCTTATCTATATAGCACCAACACTTCAAAAAACTTGAAGTGTCACGTTCGACACTCCCCAACACTCTGACACGCTTCGAAATCTATAATATTTAAAATTTCATTACATATCATGAAAAGATTGATCGATATTTTACCAAACTAATATAATAAAAATTAAAAATAGATACCGAATAAATCTAACTGGAGTGTATAAGAGATTTTCAATTTGAAAATATAATAGTAAATATTTATATCTTATGTTTCTTTGCAAAATTGATGGGTATTATAAATTTAGTTTCATTTTTTTGTTAAATTATTAAATATTAAATATCATATACACTATATAAGCTAAAAATATTATTTAATATAAAATGTGTCCTAACGTTTGAAAATTTAACATTTTTTTAAAATTAACGTATCGTCGTGTCGTATTGTGTCTTGTGTCCCGTATCGGTGTCGGTGCAACATAGCTTCTTATAATATGTAACTTTAATTACATCAACTTTTGTAAAAATGAATAAATAATAAACCAACATTAGAACAAAATAAAATTCAATTGGACTCACTAAAAAAATTTGTTTGTCAACTGTCAAACCGCTATCACTTAACCACGGCCTTTTGCTATCACCTTCAACAACAATGACATTGATTGGCATGTGACCCAAGCTGGTGTTCGTAAGTTTTGGCAATGGAAATGCTTCGGCTTCTTCTCCCCTGTTCTTGTTCTTCTTTATTGCTCAACATGCATTTTTATTCTAGATCATGCTATATATGATGGTTTGTTCAATTAGATGGAAATATTTGAAATTTATTTTATTTCGTTGATAGTTGAAACTGTTTGGATTAAATTTGGATTTTATGTAATTTTTTGGTTTAAATTTGGAAATTTGGTATGGGTTTATGAACGAACGTTCGATTTTTAGATTTTGTAATCTATGTTTGGAATTTAGTTTGTCATCGGCGGTATGATAGTAGTTTGGTTAATATGTCTACTTTAAAATAAGCGAATAAATGTTTCCAAAAAAAAGAAGCAAATAAACTAGGTTAATAGGTTAGGCCTTTTAAGTAATGGGTAAAGTGTGTGTCATTTTAAAGGATGTAAAATTGTGTCATTTTAAGATAGAAAAAGAGATAGATAAAGGAGGAGAGAGAGTTGACAAAAAAAAATAAAAGTGTGGGTCCCACCTCTTTGTGAGAGTGAAATGATATAAGTTGTGTCATTTAAAAGGATAAACATTTTTGCCTTAATTAATACCTCTAAATAGGTTATCGAAAAAACAAATTTTATATCATATATAGGATTCATGTTAGATCAGGCCTTAAATAAGTTAGGCTAAAAGCACTCCACGCGTCACTTTCCTTTTTCCAACTATATAAATAGGTATCCTATTTAATCATTTCATGTACTAATAAAAAAGATAATGTTATCATGTAATAAAATAAAAATATTAACCTAACTTCAATGTACTGTCAAGTAAGTGCACTAAATACTTGATAAAACCTGCTATTATAGGTCATAAAAAAAGGAAAAGTGTGCGTCATTTTAAAGGATGTAAAGTTGTGTCATTTTGTTATAAAAAAAAAAAAAAGTTGTGTCATTTTAAAAGAGACAAAGAGATAGATAAAGGAGGAGAGAGAGTTGACAAAAAAAAATAAAGGTGTGGGTCTCATCTCTTTGTTAGAGTGAAAGGATATAAGTTATGTCATTTAAAAGGATAAATATTTTTCCCTGAAAAAAACTAATAATATTAGTGTAAATGGTAAAGTCCAAATCTGCTTTGTGGTTTCTAAGATTAGTTATTTTTTTTTTTTTTTTGATAACCAAAAGGCCTAAGCCCAAACAAACAGAAAAACAAACAAACTAATCCCTACACACCACTGTCCTAGTCCTACTGACAGCAGCTATGTCACCAAGAAGTAAAAACTGAAGATCCGGAGGAGGATCCTTCCAAACTTGATACATGATATTGATATTCGTCTCCATAATAGAATTAGTAATCCAATCTGCGCAGACATTTCCTTCCCTGTAAATATGCTTGAGAACCACATTCCAATCTTTATTCAACAATGTCCGTATACGAGTTATCAGATGACACTCACAGACTGCTTCCCTTTCCTTGGAAAGCACAGTGATCACACTAGAACAGTCACTTTCAATAATGATTTTTCTGTGTCCTTCGTTCCAGGCCAGCTCTAAACCCCTAAGAACACCCCAAAGTTCCGCCTGGAAAGAAGAACAGACACCAAGCTTATAAGAAAATCCCCCCCCCAAACATCTCCCTTGATAATCTCGAATCAAACTACCACAAGCAGCCAGCCCAGGATTCCCTCTAGACACCCCATCAGTGTTGATTTTAACAAAATTATCATGAGGAGCCTGCCAACAGATATCAGCTAACATAGTTCTCCTTGTTGACATACGGTTAGCAACCTTTATCCAAGCAAGATTAATATCCTTTCCTAAATTACAAATAATATCCTGCCTCACACTAACAGTAGGATAAGTCGCACCATGTAAGGACTCATTCCTCCAACACCATGATTTTCAACAAATAACGAAAAAGAAAGACAACCATCCCCTACCAGAAACAGAAGCCTCGATACTCAAAGTAAGCTGAATCCACTGATCCTCATCACCAGAAAAGAAACTGCATAAGCTACTATTAGGCACAAAAAGCATCCAGAGAGATTTAACCTCATCACAGTCCCTTAAAGCATGCAGCAAAGTTTCCCTATCTTTCAAACAAATAGGACAAACATCATCCCCATTACCCCAGCCAGCAGTGCGGCTTTTGGTCAGAATTTTACCATGAAAAACTTTCCACATCAAAATTTTCATCTTTTGAGGTCTATTCCACTGCCAAAGTTGTTTCCATCTATTAGAGCTAGGGACCATATCCATATTCTGTCTTGAAAGAAACCTGTATATAGCCTTAACTGATAAAATAGAATCTCCATCTAAATCCCAAGTTCTAGCATAAGGCCCATCAGCATCCATAGGAGGAAGAGTCCCTCTAAAGATCTCAATAACATTGGCAGTGAACCAACTCAGAAGAAGATCAAAATTCCACTCACCATTCAAATTGACTAGATCAGCAGCACCCAAATTAGCATTGATATTGGGGACCAAATTGCTAGCTGCCTCAATGAAAGTTTTATCCTTCATTAGCCAAATATCCTTCCAGAAGTTAATGTCCTTTCCATCACCTACCTCCCACCTAAGAATTCCCTCCATAATTCTCCAAATCCTGCACATGTTCCTCCATAAAGCTGAATCTCCACTGCAAACCTTGAAACAAACCCTTTTTTTGTTTCTACTGCCATACTTTGAATGCAGGACATGAACCCAAAGTTGATCAGGATTATTCGAAAAACTCTAAACTCTCTTTGCAATGAGAGCATCATTCATTAGAGCTAAGTTCTTAAATCCAAGACCTCTATACTCCTTCGGCAACAGAATAGTCTGCCAACTAACCAAATGATGAGTTCTCCTACCCTCTTTGTCTCCCCAAACAAAATTCTTCTGAATTCTCTCAATATCATTGCACACTGCCACAGGAAGCTTGCAAGTTTGCATTTGGAAATAATGGATAGAAGCCAAAACCGATTGTGCTAAAGTAATCCTGCCAGCTTATGACAGAGTTTGCTGAGTCCAGCCATTCAATTTCTCTTTGAGCTTGTCCACTATACCTGCATAGAGATCCTTAGAAGCCCGACCATGTTGCATCATAGAGCCTAAGTATCTTCTCATATTTTTCACATGTTTAAATCCACTTTTCTGAGTAATAGTGTTTATAATCTCAGCATTGGTGTTTTTTGAAAAATAAACACTAGTTTTATCAACACTTAACTTCTGACCTGATACTTCTTCAAACAGATTGAGACATTTCAAAAGAGTATCCAATTGGTCCTCCTTAGGTTCCATGAACAACATTAAATCATCTGCAAAAGCAATATGAGAAATACTAGGCCCACCTCTTCCAACCCGAATTGGACTCCACAGCCCACCACTCACAGAGTGTTGATGATATGAGTTAATTTCTCCAAGGCAATGACAAAAAGATAAGGGGAAAGATGATCACCTTGGCGAATACCTCTTGAAGGAGAGAATATCTCAGTCTTGCCCCCTTTCCACAAGACATTGAAATTAGATGATTGAACACAGTGCATAATCAGATTAATGAGCTGCATTGGAATCTGAATTTCCTCCAAGGTCCTTCGAATAAAACTCCAAGAAATCCTATCATAGGCCTTAATCAGATCAATCTTCACTGCCATAAAGGTCTTCCTACCTCTCATTTTATGCATATAGTGGATTAATTCTTGCACAATCACAATGTTGTCTTGAATTTGCCTATTAGGAACAAAACTCACCTGAGCTGGGGATATGAGATTTTTCATAATAGGTTTTAATCTCTGGACAATAACCTTTGACAACAATTTATACAGAACGGTACACAAAGAAATAGGCCTAAACTTTGAAATACAATCACAACAATTAATTTTAGGAATCAACACCAGCAGGGTGGAATTGATCTCTTCCACCAAATGAGGGTTACACCATATGCTGCAGATTACCCTCAAAACTTGACCCTTCAAGGTATGCCATTGCCTCTGATAGAATATGGCAGGATAGTCATCCACACCCGGTGCTTTAAAGGCACCCATGTTTTGCAATAACTTAGAAACTTCTTCCATACTAGGGAGAGCAATCATATCATCCTTTATCTCTTGAGATAAGGGCATCCAATTGTTAGGGGAAGAGATCCACCTACGATTTTCAATCACTTCCTTAAACAAATTTTTATAAAAATTACACACAAGGTCCTTTAATTCTATCAGATCCTCCACCCACTGATTAAAAGCATTTTTCAGTCTAATTATTTTGTTAGAACCTCTCCTGATGACCGTCTTCAAATGATAGAACCTGGTGTTCCTATCACCATCAACTATCCAATTCTGTCTAGACTTCTGAAACCACAACAATTCCTCCTCCTCTAGCACAACGTCTAAGTTCTCCTGCAGAAAATTCTCCAAATCTTGAAGGTTCAAATTATCAGCAAAAGGCCTTTTTAGTTGAACATCAACAATATCTTTAGTCAGGTTAGCTTTCCTCCTACCTATACTGCCATAGACCTCCTTATTCTAACATTTCAGGTGAGATACAAACTCATTAAGCATGAAATTGAAATCTGCATTTTGATCCCATCTATGTTCCATCAGGTCATTAAAGGTAGGATGATCCAACCAGGAAGCAAGAAATCTAAAAGGCTTGTCCTGCCAATGCCTACTGCGAGCAAGAATATTCACAAGAAGAGGATTATGATCCGAATGGAGTCTAGGAAGCACCCGAACCTCAGCATCCTCAAAACAAATCCTCCAACGCAGGTTACCTACTACTCTATCAAGCTTCTTATACACCCTCTGCAAATGGTCCCATTTCAGGCCTTGCCAGGTAAACACAGGGCCAGACCAACGAAGATCATCCACATGACAATCATTTAAAAACTTCAAGAACCTGTCACACTTGGATCTATCAGGGGAAGATCCACCTTTCTTTTCCCCCACACTTTTAATGTCGTTAAAATCACCAGCAAGCAACCAAGGATCCTCAATATTTTGGCTAAGTTGAAGAATTTCATCCCATATGACATGTCTCTCCTCTTCTCGGGGACTACCATAGACCGCAGTGCAGACAAAACTTTGAGCATCTTCAATTGTCACACTCATGTGAATGAACTGTTTTGATTTTGATAACAAGTGCACCTTGGCTTTGGAACTTTTCACCAAAACCCAAATACCACCAGAAAACCCAATGGCTTCCTCAAAAATAGCAGAATCAAACTTGATCTTTATCAAAATTTTCTTACTATTCACACTCCCAGTCCGTGTTTCCAACAAAATAACCATACAAATATTATGATTATCAACCATCATTTTCAAAGTTCGACCAATAGAAGGCTTGGCCGCACCTCTACAATTCCAAAAGAGCAAAGACATTAAGAAAGTTTAGGATTTACAGGCTGAGATAACCGGCCAATTACATTTCTTCCTACTCCACAATGAGTAACATTAGCTCTAGGCTTGCTAACAGTTTCCTTGATAACCTGATTTTTAGGATCAGGAGGTTTTGGTGGTTGAATTTTGTCCGAACCAGCCTTAACCAGCTTCACACCAGGAGATTCCAAAACAGCAGTACTCCCTTGCGAATTCCCATTACTCTCAGTTTCCATATTCACCTGAGTTTTCTCCATAACTGTCTTCTCAAAGGTTGGATTCAGTCTGACCTTTACAGCATTTTGAATTCTTCTTAAAATATCTTCTTGATCAATCCTTCCATCCTCCTCAACCTCATCATTTGTCATTACATCGTCCCATACTAGATCAAAAGCATTCTTTGTTTCAACTAACCTTAGCCCCTCTTTAGATCCTCTTCTTTTTTCCTTATGAACCACCACAGTCATCTCTTTTTCCTTCAAACTGTGACCTTCCTCCATTATCAAACCCTCTTGATTCTTATTAACCACGATTGTTGCAACACTCTCCCTTGAATCCTCCTTAGGGACTGAGACTATTGGCTTAACAAATCTTTTTTCCCCTTGCCTAATCCACCCTCATCATTCCGAGGAACCATCCTACCTTTTTTTGATCTAGTAACAACCATCCAAGGTCCATAGCCTGCATGATTCTCATCCCCCTCCTGCGAAACACCCTGGTTATCATTTGAAACATCCTTCTCCAGAGACATTCTCCTGTTATCACTATTCAGATCCGTTGGCAACACCTTATTACTACACATTTCAGCCCTATGACCATACTTTCCACACGAGTAGCAGATGAGGTGGAGCCCCTCGTACTCTACTTTCTTATATCGGCCCTCAATCAAATATTCAGCTTTTAAAGGCTTGTTGAGATCAATCTCCACACAAATCCTAGCAAATTTCCCCCTTGCAAGGTTAGTGGTTGCAGCATCTAAGCGGATAAACTTACCAATCCAATCTCATACGCTCTTGATCAAAGGGGTATTCACATACTCAATAGGAAACCTCGGCAGCCTTGCCCACGCAGTAATTTTATTGATTGAAGATTGGTATGCGTTGAAATCTGGTTCCCAAGATCGAATGGCCAAATAGTGATCAAATATGATCCAAGGACCTCCAGTTAAGACATGATCCATATCAGAAATTTTTTCAAAGCGAACGAGGTAAAAATCATTTTCAATATCTGTGACGAAAACGTTTCCATCCCTCGACCACATGTTTTCCAATCTCTTCCTTAAGAAATTGATCAAGACTTTCTTCCCAAGGAGCTTAATAATTAACGATTGCTTCCAAGGTTTCCAGGCCTTTTCTTTAAACTGATTCGAAAGCTTGAAATTTGTTTTTCCATCATCCCGGATTTCAAGTGTAACATCAGTTATTTTCTCGGCACCATTTTGATCATCAGGATTAACACCATCCAACAACATCTCATTCTTCCCCAAGTTATCTAAGTCCTCATCTACATCCCATTCACCATTATGCCACATCAGAATTTCTTTGAAACTCGATTGACCATCCATCCATGCTTCCTCTCGCTGAACAAGAGTATGATCATTAGAGAACTGACCCTCCCCTTGTATTTCTTCTTGCTTCTTTGTAGGTTATCGACTTCTTCTGATGCTAATTCACGTATGTTAGGATTCTGCATGGCGACACAGAAACCCTCAAATCAGTTATCTTCTTTTTATCACTTACATTTTATGCATATATATTTTTTCATTAAAGTCGATCTAAATTTGGTTTAAAATTATATAAACTGTTTATTTTACTCTATGAATAGTAAGAGGGTATACATGAAAAAGCATCATACCCATAAGAGTAAGGTAGTGTTTGGTTCGGGAGAAAAAATTTTTTACTAGGGAAATGTAATTGATAGGGAAATGGTTGGAAAGTGAGTTTGGTAGGAAAATGTAAAAAAAGTTGTTTGGTTGATCGAAATATTACCAGGGAAATTTATTTAAATATGCAAAATCTATGTTCGGGAGAAACTTTGCACCTGTTTTTTCACTTCCCCAGTTATCTCAAAATATCACATCTCAAGTGGTATTCTGTAACAGTGAATTGCATCCAAAAATCAACACAAAAGTCATTTTCCCATCTATCTTAGTATTTTTTGAAAAAACCTGAACCAAATGTGGTATTTTCCAATATCCACTTACACTTTCCCATCAATCCCAAAATAAACCTTCAACCAAACACTACCTAAGAGATTAAAAATGGAAATGGAGAAGTCAGTGTTCGTTTTACAAATTTGTTGTGTGAAACTGAAAATGGTTAAAAATGAAGGAATATAGTTGAGCTACAATATACAGTGAACAATAGGTATTTTTATCATATTCCCATTTATAAATGAAAATTCAGACCTTGACATAAAATAATCACAGATGAGATAACTGATAAAAAAAATTAAGAATAAACAATTTTAAAGTAAACCATATGAACCATATGAACTTTACTCCAATTTATATGAGGCATTTAAACTTCACTCCAGTTAATATTGTGTGTCTTTCTTACATGATACATCAAATAGAGCCTTGGTAGGATAGGAAGTGATTCTGCACCTTTTGATACAGTCGTCAAGTTCCCTCCAGCAAGGAACATTGCCATTGAAACTTGTTTTCCTTCCCATAGTTGATTTCAACTTTCTAAAAGTCCTCAATATCTTGTCATTTATTGAATTGAGGAATCAAAAGAGTAACAAAATCTAATAAGCTAATATAACATGCTGATGCTGATATAACTAAAACATCTCAAATATACATATGCAGTCCACACACACACACAAAAATTATGTCTATGCGTGTGAGCTATGCAATCAACTTCATACTTTAGTGGGAAATTGAGAAGGCCTTAATTACAGATAAAGATGGACGAGTTAGGCCTATAAATGGCAAATAGGTGAATAGCGTGTCAAAAATGGCAGTGTAGATTTTCGAATCTGGAAATTGTTTGGCTTCTGTTAAAGTTATATCTACAAAGAGATATCAAAACTCATACAGTAACATTAACATACATATTATATTAGAAAAATGACAAATCAAACAAAAGGGGCACAAAAAAAAAAAAGTAGGCTACTTTATCAAAGCGTTAAAGTCTCATCCCTCATCAAAGGTGCCCCCTCTTGCTGGGTGGAGCTTTACGCAATCCCATTATACCCTCAATGCTCCTCCTTGATCCATCCAACAAATATCTAAATAGTTTTTTCTGCACTTCTCATAACATCCTTTGAACAACCACAACAAAACCCATTTCAAACGTTCTTGCATTCCCTTTATTTTCTCACCCTTTTTTTTCTATGCTTCGAAGTTTCGATTTTTTTCCACCCCTTCTGCAGAATATTATCAATAGCCCGGAAACATATATATAGAAAATTAAAAGAAAAAGAAAAGCTTTTCTGGGTTATTCTGGTAATTTTCTCCATTTTCCATGGGTAACATAGGAAGTAGTGGTCGGAGAAACAGTGGCAGCGCGAGGGGCAGGCGGATTCATCCTCCTCCTCCACCGGTGATTCCGCCGCCGCCGCCGGAAATCACTGCCAGCCGATTCGTGTACCCCGCCGTGGCGGCTACGCCGTATCACAACTATCCCGGTTACTATCCCCCGCCGCCGACAACTTTGCCGGCACCGTACGACCACCATCACCGTCCGGTGATAGACCCAATGGCGGGGCGTTACCCGCCACTGCCGCCGCGACCTGCGCCCTATGTTGAGCATCAGAAGGTGGCTACTATGAAGAACGATGTCAACATCAAGAAGGAGACTCTGAGGATTGAACCTGATGAGGAAAATCCTGGAAGTTTCCTTGTGTCTTTCACGTTTGATGCCACCGCTTCTGGGAGGTAACTCTGTTTTCCCTCATTTTATGATGATGATATAATAATACTCATGTAATATTATAATATATTTTTTTGGTTTCTAATGCATCATGTGTTGGTAATTATATGCAAGATGCTAAGTTTTAGAGAGTGTTGTTGAATGTTTACAGGTTTTATATAGTATTTTCCAAATGAAAAATATAGATATAAACAGAATTGTACATGAAATCAGTTGATACTTTAGAGTTTTTGTTTTCGCGTGTATTTGGTGATTTACTGAATAAGCATGTCTATGTGTTGCTAGGGTTCAAATTCCTTTGACAATCTGGAGAGCCCGATTGAAAAGCAAAGTCTATCGCTGTTAAAGATTGCCATCATGACAGATTATCTTCATTTCATAATCAACATTGCTTATAAACACTCCCTTGTTTGCTTTTTTTATTTTTATTTTTTCCCCCGTTTGATATATTTTGGATTTCAATCTGATCACACCGTGGACAATATGACACCTAAGTTTGCATCTATTTGAGAATGTCCATTGATGTTACTGAGAGTGCCTTTTTTATGCTAGTTTTTTTACTGGAGGTGAAGAAATCACTTATTGTATTGGGCATGAAGCGTTGCCTTCTAAGTTCTAACAATTGAAAATGAAGTTATTTATTTAGTACACATTGATGGCAAGTGAGATTGTCAACTGAGTTGAGAAATTAGTTGCCAATAATGTGTCAGTTTGAAAGCTAAGGTTATTTTACATGAACAACGGCTTAAAGAACAGTAGTTTCCTGATATACTTATGCTAATAGTTGTTATTACGGTCAAATCACCAATCTTTGAGTGCCTGTCAAGGCATTAAACCCCCTAGGGAGTCTTTCACCTTTAACTACCATGGGTTGACTTAATGCATGTCTAATTTAGATTATGTATTCGATATTAGTGCTGTTAAAGGCTAAATTGCCATCTGTGTGAGGGGTTTGATCTAATGGTTTTTTTTTTTTTTTTTTCTCTCTCTCCAAAACAGCATCACCATACTTTTCTTTGCAAAAGAAGGTGAAGGTTGCATTATTACTCCAATGAAGGAAAATGTTCTTGCGCCCGTGACAGTAAATTTCCAGCAAGGTCTTGGCCAGAAGTTTAGGCAGCCAGCTGGAACTGGTATTGATTTTTCAAAATTTGAGGAGTCTGAGTTACTGCAAGTGGGTGACATGGATGTCTATCCTGTAGTAGTTAAGGCAGATGCATCCTCTGGCGATCATGAAGGATCAAATGCAACTCCAACATCTGGTAACACAAATTCTCATATAACTCAAGCAGTGTTTGAGAAGGAGAAAGGAGAACTCCAGGTGAAGGTTGTTAAGCAGATCTTGTGGGTGAATGAAATGAGGTATGAGCTGCAGGAGATATATGGTATTGGAAATTCAGTAGAGAGTGACTTGGATGGGAATGACCCAGGAAAAGAGTGCGTTATTTGCTTGTCAGAACCTAGGGACACCACGGTCCTTCCCTGCCGCCACATGGTATTTACAGTTTCCCTTGTTTGAATTAATTTTTCTTTGATTGGTTCACAGAATGATGCTGATGGTAGTCATTGATATCATGAGTATTAATGTGCTTTCAAGTGTTAAATGATATCCATGTAATTCCTCTTTATTTCAACTCTTAAGTTACTCTTGTCGCTCATCAGTCTTAGCAAAATGATGATTATTTTTGCTCAACTTTAACTGTGGAAAACTAATCAGTCCTTGAGTCCTCCTTTGATATACTTTGGATGGATTGTTTCCTTGTTGTAGTGCATGTGTAGCGGATGTGCAAAGGTTTTGAGGCTCCAGACAAATAGATGTCCAATCTGCAGACAACCAGTTGAGAGGCTTTTGGAGATGAAAGTTGGGCCTGAGCCTGAGGCCGAGCGCAAGCCCGAGCCTGAGGAGTGAAGATCAAGTGTCAATGACACAAGCTTCCTGTACAGTCCAACTGTTATAGTTAAATACTTATCCCTTACTTTCTCAGGTTTTTCCAATAATAAAAAAAAAAAGTAGAAAGTGGAATTTATGTATGAAATGCTGTTTGACATGGACAATAGGCTGGCATTGCACCCAACTTGTATAAGCAAATGCCTCCTCCATGCTTGTTTGGTTGTACTTCTAATTTCTAAATGGCTTTCCTTCTGAACATCATTTACTTGTGTTTCTCACCTTCTCTTCTAACAACATCTTTTTATTCTTCTTTTATATTTCTTTCTTTTCTTTTCTTTTCTTTTCTTTTTACGCTAAAGGTTTAAGATTAGAAAAACATTTCTGACTTTCAAGGTATTGTTATCTGTGTTTTGGCTTGCAAAATGCTTATTGACTAGCTTTTATGTTCACAAACTCCTCACCCTTCATGTACTTTTATGCAGAAGTATTGGATAGCACGTCTCATTGTAAAAAAAATTTAATGATCCAGACAATTTTTACTTGCCATTAAACTTTGTTAAAAAAAAGAAAAGAAAAAGAAAATACAAAGCATGCAGCTCAGTGCATCAACATTAGCATCCTACATTCTTGACAAACAACAAATACAACACTACTAAGATTGTTGTTCTGTTATCCAATACATCAAACACACAAAACAGATACAATTTATCTCACGCGACAATCATCATATCTATGACACCTGAGGCCCTTGATGTAATTTAGTATCCCACCATTGATGGACATAGACACCATTGCTTCTGAGACCCCTATAAATATCCATGCAGTGTTCCTTGCTGCTCATAGTTTTACTTTTAACATCTCCACTGTCTGAGCAACTGAGAAATAGCTCATCAACAAAGCAAATAGCTCCACTTTCAAATATATCTGAGAGGAACTTCATTTCAACTTTCCCTGCATTCATCTTCAGGACCACAAAATCAGCATGCTGCACAGTTTCTTTGAACCAGTCAAGGAAATCAAACTCTTCCTCTCCCAAAAAAGGATCCAAGTCTCCATCCACACCAGCTTTGGCTTCAACCTTCCCAGCCAATCCCGGATGATAAACAAAGGAGACACGAGGTTGTTTCACATAGGACAACAGAATGGAAGTGTTGTAATGAACAAAATACACATTGAAAGCTTTCTGATCAATAGGATAAGAAGGTGGGAACCAATCAGTGACATCTGTGTTCAGTAGCTCCCCTACCCCCATATCAATATACACCAAACGCTTCCTACTAGAAACGTCCACAAAATTAGGCAAATAGGATATGCTTTTCTCATACCCTGAAAGTGGTGTTTCCTCCACAAGAGGCTCCATGAGCTCCACGAGAGGCTTGGTGAAGGTAACACTTACACAATCTGCTGGAAGGCCATAATGATAGAAGAAGGAGCTTGTGTTTTCAGATCTTTTCTTGAAAACTACAAGGCTAAACTCATTGACATAACCAACATGCACGACGCTGGAAGATCTCAACAATGATGACACTGAGGTAGCTGACACAAGCAAGGCACCGATTCCACCAGGCTTAAGGATGCGCTCAACCTCAAGCACGAGCAATGAAGGGACTGAAACCTTGTCTACATCCTTGGAGAACACGAAATCAAAAGAAGAGTCCTGGTACTCAAGCATGTACACGATTTTCTTCATGTTGAAGGAGAACAAACGGTGCTTGTGTACACCACTGACTCCGGAGAATCCTAAATGTTGCATTGCCAAGACAACCATGTCTGAACCTTCTCCAATGCAGAGACTTTTTGCGCCGCAATCCAATAACCCTTTACCCATTAGCTCTGTGACTACACTGAAAGTCAAGTTTATGTCTTTCTTGCAATTCTCGGAGTCAAAGGAACCCCAGAAGCTGTGGAGGATCCGACTCTGGAACAAGTAGGAACCAGGAGTCGAAGTGCCATTTTTGGCATGTGATTCTGAATCGTTGACACAGTCAACATAGTTCTTCGGAGCCAAAGATCCCAAATCGAGGGTAGGTAGGATTCGAAGCAGAGAAACGATGGAAACAGCAAAGGCAAGAAACAATGCACGGAAAAACACACACCTCGCTATAGACCCGCTAAGGATGCGGAACTTGAAGCCCTTGGAATCCATGGAAACTTTTGTTTCTTTCCCTCAAATCCTGTAGTACCCAGAAGAGCAAAGTCTATGAAGTTCACAAAGTGACTTGTCAAGGAAGAGACACATATTTTGATAAACGAAGTTGTGAAAGGTGGAAATGGAAAATACAAACCTGGAAGAAGTGTGATTCCTAGCCACAAGGACACCCATTGAGATTTGGAACCATAACCAGACCCTCCTTGGAACCCTCTTTGAGTACCATCCCCAACCCATGTTTGGTGGATTCAATCTCCACATTTGTCACATGAGATTAGCTCATCCTTGAAAATCTCAGCTTCAATCTAGTAGTAACAATGTTAAGGAGCTTTTTTACTTCTTCTGAAAACCCTTGCTAGATCCAAAGAAGATGATGGGGAATCAGAATTTGTGGTATAAGAAGTAGAAGAAGAAGATTAAGATGGAAAGGCAAGGATTGGTTGTGGAGTGGAGTGTGAACTGGTGAGAGTGGATCAGGGGTAGGGAACATGTAGGAAAGAAACATCATAGGGAACGTATATGCAGTGAGAATGCCAACGATGAATAATGTAATGTGATGTGGGGCACCCTCGTATCCTATGTTTACGTGGCATGATATGGAAGATCCTTAAAAAATATTAAATATTTAATATATTACTTTATCCTTTGTGAAAAAAATTAAATTATTTATCTCTTTTAACTTATTTTCTGATCTTTTTATTAAGTGAAATAAGAAAATATAATAAAATAAGAGAATAGTATTTATTTTTAATTATTATTTGCAACCTTATCATGAAAATTGAGAGATTTGGCTAAAAGATTCCTTAAGGGATTTAATGTACATAAATTTAAAATTATTCGGGTTTTAAGTAATTTCCGAAAACTTGTTGACAAGAATTGATCCATTGGAAATGTCGACGCGTGTGTTTAGTTGGTTCTAGTAAGTGAAAGTGAACATCATTTAGTTTAGAAATACCAAAGAGTCTACACCAACCACGATCGGTCCTATAAACATATATTATTTGTATATATTTATGTGGCAAGTTCAACTTGTATATTTGTTAATGTATTAACTTAGTTGATCGATTATTTGAACATAGTCGGATTTATTATAAGGGGATGATTTTAAGATATTTTTTTTCATTTCCATGATTAGAACTTGAAACCCCAAATTAAGAGGAACAAGTTCTTTATAACTTGAATAAATAGTTGTCGATTTTTTATTAACCAGTGTTTAAAGTTCTAATAGACCTAATTAATCTGATTTATTTTGAATCTCTTTACTATTTAAAAAATTGTGATTTTTAAGAATCAGATTCACTATTTTTTCGACAGGTGAAATCATGAAGTTTAATGCCAGACCAATAACTTCTCCCATTGATATGGTGCATTAAATTATAATATTAACACAAAGTTAGAAGAAGCAATTAAGTTGTATATACAGCACCTTGTTTCATGATTAACACCGTACGCATTAAATGGAATAAGAAATATTTGACAAACTATATAATTGGGGAGAAATGAAAGGACACCCTGCACACTGCGGTATTGGAAACTTTATTGGATTAAAGAAAGGGAGAAATGATCACGATTCTCGATGGATGATGCTTTCAAGGGACCTTTATTCTAAACTCAAATGGCTGAAATGAAAAATTGACAAGTGGACTAATTTAATCAATAAGGTGCTTAATTGCATGATTGAACTCATTAGCAAACCCATAATGCACTCCACTGCTTTGATTAAACGCCATAAAGAAAACTTTTCCAACTTGACTTGAGTTATGGTACAAAACAATCCACGGTTTCAACGCCCATCGCTTATGACGGATGAATGCTTTTTAAATTTTTTTTTTTTTTTGGTAAACAGAAGGCTAAGCCCAAGAGAAAACAGAAAAGAAATTAAACTAACTCCTACACACCATTGTCCTATTCCTACAGACAGCAGTAAGATCACTAAAATATCAGGAGAAGGATCCCTCCAGATTTGATACGGACTATCCTCCATATCAAAGATAAGTTTGTCAATCAATCCACACAAACATTCTCTTCCCTGAAAGTATGCATGTCGACATTGACCAATTTTTATTTATCCATGTCTGAATGCTTTTTTAATTTTATGTATATATTGAGATTCACAAAATAATAATAATAATAATATTTTAATTTTAAATTTTGAATCCTTATCCCACAAAACATTTAGGGGCGTTTGGTTGAGGAGAAATTTTTCGAATACTAGGGAAATGTAATTGATAGGGAAATAGTTGGAAAGTGAGTTTGGTAGGAAAATGTAAAAAAAAAGTTGTTGGTTAGAAAAAAATTTACCGGACAAATTAGGTAAGATTTATAAAGTCTATGTTTGATTGATGATAGAATATTGATGGGTAAATGATATAAAATTACAAAAGTAACCTTTAATATTTAAATAACAAATACGGTTGTCTGCCTGAAGTTCACAATATATGGTTCAGACGGCTAAGCATCTCAACAAACAAATCATATAATCACGAAAAGTAACCAAATCATCTTGTAATATATATATATATATATATATATATATATATATATTCATAGTCGAGTTTTGAAAGAGAAGTGGGTATATTTGGATTTCAAGAACCAAATCATCTCGTCAACAATTTAATCACAAAATCAAGAACCATCCATTTGAATTTCAGAACCATTTGTACGGTCCTTCACCACTCACAGCGAGTTCTTGGAGTGGGTATATTGGTCCGTTTACTTCATCTTCTATCTCTCATTTAGGTGGTTATCATGAATACCACATGAGAAGTGGGTTGCTTGCAAAAAAAAAATTGTCAATTTTTCCACACAATACTAAAAGGCTGGGCAACTAAGTTTGGTAGGTAAATTTTGGATTCTCTTCTACCAAACATGGACAACACATAATACCTCTTTCAGATGCCTAGCTATCCTCTCAAAAAACCTATACCAAACACCACCTCAACGGGTTTGCGCTAGAGCGTTTATAGTAATTTCCTTCAAATATTATGCATACCGGGAAGCCAAATTAACACGTTTTTTTTTTTTTCATTTTGCTCTTAATTAAATTAAAATTTATCACTTTGCTCTCATTTTTAAATTATTTAAAAAACATGATATTTTTCTTAAATATAATATCAATCTGTTCCTGTTTGATCTTTGACTGGCCTTCATACTCGAGTATATGACTAATATATTCGAGTAAATCAAGTATCATGAATTTACACTCGAATATAAACATGATACTCGAGTATGGCACAATATACTCGAGTATATGGTGACACATGCCCTACAAAAATTTGACAACACATAGCTCTAAAAAATTTATGTAAAATAAAAAAAGCACTTGATTCGACACCCGAGTCAAAAGTTAAATTTTTGAAGTTTTACTGTAAAATTTTCAAAAAATTTGTAATGAAAATAGGTTTTGTAATATCCACAAAACTTCTCCTCAGATCACTCGAGGAATGTCAAATATTATGAATATATTATTATAGAAGCTTGTTTGTTCCAAAAAATCTTATGGAAAAATATTTAACCATAAAATTTCTTAAGACCATAACTTTTGACTTGAGTGTCCGAATCAGGTGCTGTTTTTATATTCCATATAACTTTTCGAGAGCCTATAAGTTCGCAAATTTTCAGAATATTATTTGTCAGTGTTGGAAAGTAAAAATTTAAATAACATCATTCGTAAAAATAAAATATGCCAAATGAGGCACAAAGAAGCAATTTTTGGAAAAAAATTTGGACCAAATCTCTTACGAGGTTTTTCGGTAAAATTTTCAAAATTTTGTAATGCAAATAAGTTTTGTAATACCCACAAAGCTCCTCCTCATGACACCTGAGTCAAGTCCAATATTATTAGTATATGACTGTACAAACTTGTTTAAACCAAAAAAATTTGTGGAAAAAATTTAATCGTAAAACTTTGGAAGGCTATAACTTTTGACTCGGGAGTCCGAATAAGATGCTTTTTTTATTTCACATAACTTTTCGAGAGCTACACATTGACAAATTTCAGTAGAGGATTTAGTCATCATGTACTCGAATACATGACTCATACACTCTAGTATATGGTCCCATACTCAAGTATCGAAGTTTTATACTCGAGTAAATGTTCATAAAAACTCATATGACGAACAATATTCGAGTATCAAGTCCTGTACTCGAGTATTTACTATTTCATGCAATATACTCGAGTATAAGGATCCTATACTTGAGTATATAGCTCGGTTAACAGTCAAATAGAAACAGATAGATAACATATTTTAGAACAGAGGCAAAATAATATTTTTTAATTTAATTTAGGGCACAATAGTTAAAAAGCCAAAATTAACATTCAAGGTTGTTAACTATTAAGAGCATTGGTTAAAAGGTATTTATTAGCCTTTTAAAATAATGCTGTTTTGTAACAAATGTTGTTTACCATAATAAAATTAAGAAAATTACAAAATAATCTTAAATTCAAGTGAATTTGACTGCATTTAAGCAATTTTCTTCAATTAAAATATTGAAATATTATCTCTTCATTAATACTAAATCTTATTTTATTTAGTAAAAACATTAATAATAAGGATAAAGTTGAAAATATGTAGAGTCTGTTTACATGGGATTTTTTTTTTTCAGGAACCCGCATTTTATCAAAAGTAAAAGTGTTTTCATTTTATATGTGTATTTTAATGTAATTTAAAAAAAAAAAAACTAAAATGATGCTGATCACTGCTTCTTCTTTTTCGGTAAACAAAATGATGCTGACCTCTTTCAGCCAAAGATTCCTCACTTTTGAAAAAAGTTGAAGTCAAAGGTTAATGTAATTCCACTGAAATTTAATTTTATCGTCCATCTAAAACCCAAATAAATATATATATATATATATATATATATATATATATATATATATGTTTGTATTTTGACAAGTCGTTTTTGATAATTTTATACATAAAAGGCGCCTTTTTCTTTATGACATTCCAAAAAAAAAAAATTAATTAAAAATACTCTTTGGATACTATATTCAAACACAGAATACATTTACTTTTTTGAAAAAATATTTCTAAAAATAGTAATATACAAAAAAAAATTTGAAAAAGAAAAGCTCATCGAAACTGCCCCTAATCTTCTAAAACGCAAATAAACTAAAACAAAGAATTTTTTTTTCTGAAACTACATATATTTCAAAATATTGAGAATAAATTGCTTTAATTAATTAAATAAGAGTTAAATTTTTTATATTTAAATATGATATAATTATTTTTTTTAGCCGGAGTCTTAAAATACTCATTTGCAAAATCTTAAAATTCATTTTTTCTGCTTCAAATAATATGCCAACGTTTTTATTAACAAAACATTAAAAAAATAAAAATTAGCATGCTTGTTGTTAAAAATTTATAAGGATTCATTTTTGGCGCATTATTAGTATACTTTTTTTTTTACATATTATCATCTATTTTGGAATAATGATTAAAAAAGTTTTCCTATCAAAATATTTACTTGAGATGTTTAATTATTTTAATAATATATTAACACA